CGCTCTTTCAGCCGAGAGGGCGTTATAATGTAACGGTCAATCCCACTATTCGTTGGTAAAAGAGTAACCCAAGAGTTGGCGGTGGGTGGTGATGACTAGCTGCCTTCCCTCTAGTCTTACACTGCTAAATTAGGGACGGCTAGCGCAGATAGCCCTCGCGTAGCTTTGCGCGAAATTACAAACAAACAATCTTTTTCACGAGCCTGAAAAATCAACTATTCGAAAGCTCTCGAAATTCTAAGTCTTTGAAATCTATCTGAATTTCTTTTGTTTTTAGTGTCCCTTTGTGCTATTTTTTCGTCATGGCTAATTGTTTTAATACAGTGTTTTCACGTTTGTATGTTGGGCTAACTTGTTTGAAAGGTGCCAGCAGAGATATTTTTAGTTGTTTTTTTCGATTTGGTAAAATCATAAAGCAGATGTTGAACAAAGAAGTGATAAAGGAAACTTTAATTAAATTATAAATCAGTTTTTTAAGACGAGAGGGAAAAGTAGGTAATTGTATAAAACACGGACTTTAACTAAGAAATGTGACAGAAAAAGTAGGTTAGTGTGTAAAACGTAGGCTTTAACGTAAAGAGAAAAATAAGTAATTTTGTAAAATTTAGTTTTTGGCTAAGACGTAATAGAAGAAAATTATTGAATATTTTTATGATATTGATATAACTAGGAACTGGGACTGAGAGAATTAAAACATGGGTTTATCCGACAAGTAGAATAGGAAGAATTAAGTAGTTTTTTTACAATCTCTTTTCTATGGCAATTTTGTAAAAGTAAGATTTAATTAAGATAAGTCTTTATTCATTAATGGAAGGTCATTATTTTTTTATATATACTTCTGTTGAGCCTTAAAAGAAAAGTGTTGAAGCTTGTTCCTTTACATATTCTTCTTGCGGAAATACATATTTTTATCAAGGACAATTAACCAGAAATTAATAATGGTTTTTGTAAACCAAGTTTTAAAAATGATAATTTTGTTGTTGTCATTTTCGCATACATTCTAAAAGGAAAACAAAATAAAACAATGTTGTTGTTTTTGTTTCTTTTTTTTTTACGCTCGACAGAAGATTCGTAAGCAGTGAACATCAAGGTATTAAAAGAAAATTAATATTAGAAACATAGGCTGAAGTCTGTTCCTCTATATGTTTTTCTTGTGAAAATACATGAACATATTATTTGCATTTGTTTAATTTTCAGGTAATCTCTGCTACTTTGATCGGAAATATTATGCCAGAGGTGAAGTTTTGGATATTAATCATCCAACTAATTGTGTCACGTGCTCTTGTGATACTCCACCTGAGCTCACGTGCATTCATCAAGCATGCCCCCCAATTCCCAATAACGATTATGAGAATTGTGAACCTACTTATCGTCCAGGAGTTTGCTGTCCTGAATACACATGCCGAACTACACATGGTAAGTGGTCATCTTATATATTGATGAAAATATTGCCTTAGACCTGTCCTTATAGTAGAGCATCAGCCTTCTATGATTCTAACTGTCCTGTTAATTTATTCCAGGATTATACTATATAATAAAACATGTATAGCAACATTTCTTGATATAGAATAGACTAAAAGTTCCTCGTCACTTTTCTGTTTGAATTATCGACAATACATACAGTAACGTGTTAATAAAAGTCCAATATCATCCGGGTTTTTTTGTTTTTTGTTTTAGTAAATAAATTCAAAGAGAAGTCTGTAATGTAGGAGGCTGACATAAATCTAATTTTCATATTGACATCTAGAGAAGTTATTCTATACTTGAGTGACAGCGATCTTTTGCATTGAATCGTTGCATCATGTTATCATAGTTTTATACTGATAGAAAGCAACCATAGATCGAGAATATTTAGCTGGCAATTTTATATTAATGATGCCTTAAAGGAAAAAGCGAGGTAATTAAAATGGAAAAGTTTGATTATTGTTAAGCACAAAGCTACACAATGTGTTGTGCCCACTACGAATATTGAAACCCGATTTTTAGCGAGTTAAGCCCTCACACTTACCACTGAGCCGCTAGGAGACAAAAATGGAAAAAGTTCATGCTATTGGTCCCATTTCCCATTGAAACTTCAGGCACTGGTATAAGTTATCTAAAATGAGAAAAAATTTTCAGACAACCAAGAGAAGGACTTGGTCATTTTGTATTTTTCAGCAAAGTGTTGGCGACTGGCTTGTTTAGCAATTTTTAATAACATTGATATATATTTTTTAATCAAATACAACAGTGATTTTCCTCAAGTGATATTTCATCTTGGCTTCCACTATTTTAACCTAACACTGAATTGTTGCCCTTCTAGAGAATATTAAAGAAGAAAAGGACGAGAATGATAGTGATGAAGTAGTGTTGATTGGACCACCACCCGAGGAAGATCCCTGTTCTGTAAGTTTCTTATATAAATTTTTTTGCGTGTGTCTTCGAAGCGTTTCATTTCCTGGGCATAAAAGTTAAGAAATAAAGGTAAACGTTAAACAATAAGGTAATTTGTATTTCTCTTTTATAATTTCATATCATAACAATTAAGATTAGACAATCTGGTCAACAGTACCTTTGTTCTAGTGTGATAAAGGTCAGTGTTGAACAGTAACAATCACTGGTGTAATAACAGCTAAGGTTAAACAAATAAATCAACGATAAGTCTAAAATTTGTAATAAAAATCACGTTAACTGATGTTTCCCCTTCCCCCACATTCCTCTAAATTTCCTCATTGTGTATTCAAATACACGCGGTATGTAAAAATAATATTTCAGATCTATCTTTTTCTCCCTCAAGTCATTATCTAAAAGGCCTTTCATTTAATATCAGAACTCGCCAGTTTGTCTGGACGATGAGATACAAACTATTATCTGAAACACTATATATAAATATATATATATTAAACACCGAAAGCTGTCGAAGCATTAGACATATGAATTATTGTTCTTGTGTTGAAGGTAGTCCTCTTGGAGAGTGACCTGTGGGAGTTAAGAAATATATCAGAAATACTATTTTGACACGCTTCTGATTGTGAATCCGCAATAGACAAATTAAGAGGAATGAGGGAAAAACTCATTTAAAGTTAACGCAATTTTTATGACAGATTTTATGCCTACTGATTTCTAATGCTTCACTAGTTTTCGAAGTTTAAACCGTAATCCATAATCCTTTTCTTTTGATATTATAAAAGTCAAAGTTGAACATTATTATTATTCAAACCACTGTTCTGCTATGAGGAAGGTTGTGATGAACAGTTTAATGAATGTTTCTGGTATCGTAAACAGTAACAAGCTCTGAAATCTCTGATCTTGTATGATAAAGCTCAAGATTAAATAATGACAGCTACTGACATCTGTATTCTAGTGTGGTACAGGGTAAAATAATGTTTTATAATAACTGACATATTTCTTTTAATAAGAAAATTGTGAATGGTGTGATAAAAGTAGAGGTTAAATCAGCTCATTTTTTATATAAATCATTGATTCCTTAGTATCGTCAGTCGTATTTGGTTTAACCGGATAAACATACTAGTTCGGTGGAATTTTCAGATTGTTTATACTTTATGTTTTATTTTTTAAGAGAGAAGCTGTGTCTGTTTCAGTTTTAATATTTTCACAAACATATTCGTGCTAGAAAAGGAACGCTATTCGTGAATATATTTACTATGAACTAAATCAATTTCATGAATATTTTCAGAGTGTTATCTGCGCGGAAAAGGAACAGTGTGTTATGTTTCATGTTCTATGTGCGACAGACTATTGTCCACCCCTTCCAACCTGTAAGTTTTTTAGATACACTTTTCACAACATATTTAAAACTTTGAGATTTAATGGAAAGAAACAGGAATGAAAACAGTTTCACTCACCGTAAATGTTACAAATAAACAGTAGTTTGTTTAATTGGTAGTGACGTCTGTTTCACTCACCGTAAATGTTACAAACAAACAGTAGTTTGTTTAAATGGTAGTGATGTCTGTTTCACTCACCGTAAAATTCAATAGTAAATGTTACAAATAAACATGAGTTTGTTTAATTGGTAGTGACGTCTGTTTCACTCACCGTAAATGTTACAAACAAACAGTAGTTTGTTTAAATGGTAGTGATGTCTGTTTCACTCACCGGAAAATTCAGTAGTAAATGTTACAAGTAAACATTAGTTTGTTTAATTGGTAGTGACGTCTGTTTCACTCACCGTAAATGTTACAAACAAACAGTAGTTTGTTTAAATGGTAGT